CTTAGCGATAGAACTTTGGATGGGTCATCCTAGCACCATAAATATGTCCTGTAGTCTATCCACTAGTCACTCACGGATGTTATAGGCTGCATAGGAACACTCCAAAATGAAAAATGGTGTTAGGGATCTGGGACATCTTTTTTCTTCTTCAAAAGCTTCCTTTAGTCTTAAACCAGATTTTAAATATATGGAAATTAAGTTAAAATTACTCACTAAGGACTTTCCGCTTTTGATTCATATAATTTTCAAACAATCATTATTCATGAATATCACCTTATGAATCGTCAGAATCAATTGGTTTTTAAAAAGTTAGTTCAAGCAAACATCTTGGTCACAACGTTATTTTTTACAGCTGTGAGCAAGGAACCCATAGCAAGTTCCTGCTACCTCTCATATTTTAGAAGAAATCTTTCCTGTAATAACTCAGACTTGATATTTAAATTTTTTTGTCATGCAAAAACCAAAGTTCAATATAATGAATGAGGGATCACATTACTGATTGGGAACACAGCACAAATGCATCAGGAGAATTGTGTTTTAATAACATGTGGCTCAAAACAGCCAAAGTCCAACCTCCATAAAATATTGCTCTGCCTTGATTTTCTTGAACAGAGAAGTTTCGGTTGGAAAACATTCACTGTGGGAATTGTGCTAGGTTAGGAACATCTGGACTCAGCAATGGCCGGACAGAAGCAGATGGTGACTTCATGGGAGGAGAGCTGTAGCTCTTCCACTGCTGAGAGCTACTCATCCCATGTTTTTTCCCCCTTATTTTCCTAATAACAATAAACAATTAGGAAAACAAGAAAATTGTTTAGATGTATCCATATAATTAGCTTCCAATGATATTTTATAGTTCTAGAACTCACCAAAGAAAGCATACATTTATATCACAGGATGCCATAGTAATAAAATGCTGAATGTCAATCAAGGTATCAATAGAGACAAATCATTTTTATATCAGAAACGTTTCATTGGATTTTGAATACAGACTAGTGCTTAATTTGCTGTCTCTCACCACCCTCACCCCTGCCCCTTAAGTAAAAGAGAAATAGCTGCAACATGGTTTAATGTATGTATATATATGAACCCTGGAGTTGGACTGCTGGCTTAGCAGTTCACTGACTGCTTGTACTCTTGGGCAAACAAGTTATTTATCTTCTTTGTACCTCACTTTCTTCCTCTGTGAAATGGGATAATGCCTTATAGAGTTGATGTATTAATTGAATTCATACATGTGAGCACTTAAAATAATGCCAGCACATAGTAGGCACCCAAAAACGTTAGAGATTTTTTATTCTAATCTTGCACCCGTACCTTCAGGCCGATCATTTCTAGATTATAAAATTACTATTCTTATCAGCACCCCAAAATGATAGGAAATCGTGTATTGCCTTTCGGACCCATGGAAAGGACATGGTACCGGGTTCAGGGGACTGTTCCTGGCCAGGTGACGGTTGGGTACCCTTGAGCAAGGCTTTACTCTCTGAGCCTCCCATGGCCATACAAATTCAACGAGACGTCATACATCTATGCATCGAGGCTGCTACATGGAACGCACACAATAAGTGCTTCTTGATTATTGGAAAAAATGCGTATCTGTAAGATCCTCTGGGAAATTACTTGTAACAAGCCCTTCTTTTCAAAGTGTTTCCACAAGTGGTAGCACTCCACAAAGCTCTTAAGAGAAATTAGGTAAAGAAACAATGCCCGTAAGTTCTGAAAGCTTGGCTAAACCAATTTTGAAGACTAAATTCTAATTTTAGGCCAGTTTGACCCCTAAATGTCTCTCTCTGGTTTCTGCTTCCTGCGAGCCTGGGGTTCCTGCCTTCAGGAGTCTCATGCATTATGTAAATGAGTGAAGTAAGATCAATTGGGAGTGTTAGCAACGGTGGAAAACTGGCTTGTATCGGCATCATGAACAAAAGATTCTAATTCAAACATTTTGTCCAAAGGGTAAGCTGGGACGAAGTGAGAGAGTGGCATGGACATATATACACTACCAAATGTAAAATATTTAGCTAGTGGGAAGCAGCTGCATAGCACAGGGAGATCAGCTTGGTGCTTTGTGACCACCTAGAGGGGTGGGATAGGGAGGGTGGGAGGGAGACGCAAGAGGGAGGGGATATGGGGATACATGTATACGTATAGCTGATTCACTTTGTGATACAGCAGAAACTAACACAGCATTGTAAAGCAATTATACTCCAATAAAGGGAAAAAAATAAACACCTAAAAAAAAAAACCCCAAAAACATTTTGTCCAAAACTCACCTGTTGGCTAAAGGCAACCCTTAGGCAAGCAGACAGCTCTTGTTTTTGCTTTTTTAATTGGTATACCTAACAATATGAAGTTTGCATTAACTGATATTTAGACTTATTTGCAGTTTTATACAGTTCTTTGCTAAACTTCTTGTACTAAATTCCTAGATGTTTACTCAGGATTGGCCTTTCTCCTCTTCCATTGTCTAACAAGGATGCTACCACCATGCAGGTCTTGCAGCTGTCAGCCGCAAGACATTATTAAGGGATGTGGCTAGCTGCTCCTGGGAGCTCATTAAAGCTGTATCCAGCAGGGTAGCTGGACTCATCCAACAGGAATTTGTAGACAGCCTACTCTGAGCATAACCACACATCATACAGGCATCTAAGCGGGTTTTCCTATTTCCTGATTTTACTCAAAGGATTTAGATTTAGGAAGTCATGTCATCAGTTTTCTTTCTTATTCCTTTAGATGAACCGGCACCTTCCATTTACCAGGAGCAAAACTTCTTGTTATTTATAAGTAAAATCACAGCAAATCTGCTTCTAATCTTGCCATTTCTGAGCTTGCTTGAAAGTTGTTCTGAACTCCGCTTAGATCACCTCAGCCAGTATATATGAAGCACCAGATACTCTGTTCAACCACACGCTGAGGGTTACAAGGCTTTTTGCCCTTCTGGAGTCTGCGGTCTAAAATGACCACCTGTGACTCTAGTAGCTACAAAATGGATAAACAGAATTGCAATTGCCCTACAAAAACAGATAAAATACAAAGGTGATTTTAGAACGGTAAAGCTTATAAATTGGTTTTCACAGCAGAGTTGCTGGGATGCAATGTAAAATAGAGTGATTAAAAAGTTTCGGTGAGCAAGGGCAAAGGCCTTGAAATTAGAGTGATTTTTACTGGAGTCAGTTTCAGTTTAGTGGATGTAAAAGCCAGACTGCAATGAGCTGAAGAGTGAATGGGGTGTGGGGGGAGGAGAAGAAGAGAAAAGAGCTGATGAAAGAGAAGGAAATGGAGAAATAACTCCTCCACAGAGCCTGACGCAATCAGGGAAGGGATGTGGTCCTTAGCACAGGTAGAAGGGACAGGGAAAAAGTAGACTAAGAAGGGTTTGAAAACAGATAGTTTTGTAGATTGGAGGCCAGGAAGTAGGGCTGCGAGGTTGCACAACTCCAGAAGACATGGTTCAGAAGACTGCGGGAGCGTTGTGCCCTGGAGCTGTGAAACCGGGTGTTCCCATCTCCCTCCATTCATGCCATTTTTGCTCTGAATTAAGAAGCAAGAACACCTATTTTCAATAGAGAGAGCACAGGGATATCATGATGGGTCTTGACTGGTTGGGACAAGAAAATAAAGAAATGAATATGTAAAATCTATCAAAAGAGCTGATGTCAGAAATGGAAATGGAAGTTGAATCTAGGGACGAATCAAATGGTGGCCAAGGGACACTGAAAGCTCGGATGATAGCTGGACCACACACTGGGCCCTTCACTCACATCAACTCACTCAATACCATCAACAGTCCAGCAAGAAGAGATTCTTCTTCCTTTATGGATGAGAAAACTGAAGTCCACAGCAGTGATGTACCACACACAAGCTGGGGGATGGCAGAGCCAAGATTCCAGAGACAATGAACCTTCCCCTGCAAGTGCTGCTTGGGACACGGAAGAATAGTATATACGATCCCTGCTCCCAGCTCTCACACACTATTGGGAACAAAAGCATATGATAACTGGGACTTCCCTGGTGGTCCAGTGGTTAAGACTTCGTCTTCCAATGCAGGGGGTGCCGGTTCGATCCCTGGTCAGGGAGCTAAGATCCCACATGCCTCATCGGCAAAAAAACAAAACATAAAACAGAAGCAATATTGTAACAAATTCAATAAAGACTTAAAAAAAAAAAGTCCACGTCAAAGAAAAAAAATCTTTTAAAAAAAGCATATAAATAACTACAAAGCAATGAGATTAAGGCAAAACTGGTTTATGAGTGAAGTACTGTGAGTACAGGCTTGTAAATTCTCTCAGGTGGCTATATATTTATGGTTGGCAGGGAGGAAAAGTGGGAATAAAGTCTCATGACTTAGTTATTTTATTTAAAAATATGTATCCAACATTTAACATCTAGAATCAGCAATTTCTTAAGTTTATATGTAGTTGGTTATTATGAGCCTTATTTGCAGATTTTAAAAGTAGAAAGACACATATTTAAAGTTAAGCACGTTAAGATACTAAAACCTTTATATTTTGTGTAAGGAATTAGGGAAATAAAAATATGTGTAATAAATAATGTTGGCATAAAGAAACACTGGAAGGACAAGCATATGAGAAGATGCCTAAGGGACTTCTCTGGTGGTGCAGTGGTTAAGAATCCGCCTGCCAATGCAGGGGACACAGGTTCGATCCCTGGTCCGGGAAGATCCCACATGCCGCGGAGCAACTAAGCCCGTGTGCCATAGCTGCTGAGCCTGAGCTCTAGAGCCCGTGAGCCACAACTACTGAGCCCGTGAGCCACAATTACTGAAGCCCGCGTGCCTAGAGCCCATGCTCCGCAACAAAGAGAAGGCACGGCAGTGAGAAGCACGCGCACTGCAACGTAGAGTAGCCCCCGCTCGCCACAACTAGAGAAAGCCAGCACACAGCAACAAAGACCCAATGCAGCCAAAAAATGAATTAATGTTTTTAAAAAAAAAGTTAAAAAGAAGAAAACGCTAGGAAAAGAAAAAAAATCCAACTAACCACGATTCTGAGAAATTGAGCAGCACGGGGTTGTGACACTGACTACGGAGAAGGAAACACACTTCTTGTCTCTGCTGTGAAGGAAAGTTTGCGTTAATGCTGTTTATTGCTACTGTCTATTAGACTCTAACAGACTCTCACCTAGGGACAAGCTGTAGAAGACTTAACTGTGGTTACAGAATGGAATGTAAATGTTCTCAGCCATGGAAATCTGAGTACAGCTTGATGAAAAGTCTGGAGGTGGAAGCAGAGGTGGGGAGTCCAGGAGACGTAGGCGCTCAAATACCCTCCTCTCACAAAATGGAAAGCCAAGAGATGCTGTCTGTGTTTGGGAGAACTAAAAACAAACGTTGAAGGAAATTAAACCTGCAAAAGTGAGTAAGATAAAAATAGTGATGTAACTACTGTGTGTGCGGGGGTGATATTAAGTAAAATGAATATTTGTCATTGCAAGAGTCAGTAAGTAATGTCGTAAAACATCCATCGTGTTTACGTATCTACGTATCGTAGATCCATCGTATTTACACAGTTGGAGGGCATCAGCAGCAGAGTTAAAGCTGGGAAGCTAACAGTGGTTGCCTTGCAAAGTGGGACTGAGGCTGAGGAATAAAGAGCAAGGAACCATTGCTTCTTTTTGTAAATCCTCCTGTACTATTTGCCTTTTCTTTTTTAACTCTGACAAAACCAAACCAAACCTAACAATCATACAAGGTTATGGTGAAGGTCAGGGATAATCGATTACTAATACCCAGAAATGTAATCGGTGAGCCATCTTGTACCGTTATTTGTAGGATTTCCTCCTGGTGTTAGTACCGGACCTCCAACCTCCCGCACCCTAGATTTTTTCCTTCCTTGGGGATCCTGAATGGCTCCCACCCCCAGCTGCCCTGTCTATTGTTTCAGCAGCACTCCAGCTGCGAGAACGGTCCCTCACTACTCACCTCTACTCCGGATGCCACCTTCACTGCCGGGGTTGGATGTCCCATTCTGTGGTTATAGCTGTTGTCAGTTTCTCCCTCAGCTGCTGCCAAAACACATCAAGCTGCATCTTGCTGTTATACATCAGCTGATATAAATTGAGTTTATCGGTTCAAATGCATGCACTTAAAAGCGTAATTTTAGCACACAATCATATAAATGCTCAATTAAAAATATAGCTCATAATATACAACATCCTGTAGCAGTTTTTGCCGTTTCTGAGCTTTACACCATAGGAAGGCTTTAACAATAATCTCTATTTACAAATAGAGCAATATATGCTCATTATAGAACATTTGAAAGAACAGACATAACTGCTTCATTCCTCTTCATTAGCTTGGGATACAAGCAGAAATCCCATGTTGTTAAAATTAGATGACTCTGAGTCTCCACACTGCTTCTACAGAGAAGGTCATTCTTTGAGTCCTTTGGCCTGAAATACCTCCCAACCCCCCAGGAATGCCTACGCCTCCTCTTCCTGAGGTGTCACTCCAGCCAGAATTCTGGAAGTCATCCTAAACTCCTCTTTCCTCTTCATCCTTCAGATCTACTCGAAACTAGGTCCATGGATAAATTAAGTACTTCACCCGGGTCACATAGCTTTTGGTGGGTGGGCCTTTGGAGCCAAAATGTAGTGTCTAGGAGGTTTGTGCTAAAGCATGCTGCCCTTATGCTTCTGGGTGGCACAGGTGGTGGCTCCATGGAGGATCTGCATAGAATCAAGTCTCCCCCAGTTCCCATTTCCTCCCCAAGAACCATCTCTTGGCATCACTGCTGTCATATAGCTACTAAGTGTCAAAAGCAGGATTCACTTCTTCAGCGAATTTTTATGTCAAACTGTTATCTTTTTTATTTTGTTTTTTCAAAAATTTATTAATGAAATTTTCCAGTATTCAGAAAAGTTGGAAGAATAGTACAGGAACACTTATATATCTATCCACCACCAGACTTCAACAACTGTTAACACTTGCCAAACTTGTTTCACTCATCTATTGATCTATCTGTTGAATATATCATTTCCAAGAGTTCCTTCCCATTTTCTAACTCTTCCTTTTTGTAGCATCATGTTCTTGTTTAACAGATGTAATATCATTTCACATCTCTCTAGTGGTAAGTAACTCATTTTGTAGGATTTTTATTTGGCCCTTCTTATATTCCCTGAATTATGTTTCTTCTGCGGTCGCTTCTTCTCTGTTTACCTTTCTTTGTCATACTGTAGGTTTTTCTCAAATGTTTGGTGACTCCAGTTGTCAGGCTATTCTTAAGAATGAGATAGGAGAAAGGCTGACTCGTACTTTTAGCACGTATGTGGAACTTGCTGATTGGCAGGCTTCAATTTAGGGTGAATAGTCAGAGATCTGATCATTGTGCTGAGGCCTCTCAAATGCCGGAATGTAGATGACTTTGTGCCGCGGTACCAACAGCTGCAGCTGCCCAAGTTTTCTCAGAAAGATCCTTCACTCTCTTTATAAAAGTCCCCTCTGGTCATCGGTTGGTTGGTTTTGGTTTTCTCTGTGATTGAGCATCTAGTTGCTGGGGGTTCCTGGCACCAGAGTTGAGGAACAGGGATGGAGGATGACCATTTTGTATAGAGATCTTCACTATCTTCCATCTTCTAGTCATTCCGATAACTTTTCCGAGTCCCCAACCTCAGCAAGGTTCTAGCACAGAGGGAGGCTCCCCTGTCTTCTGCAAGACCCTCCAAGCACATCCTGGGCTATAGCTTCTCCCACTCAGTGTTCTTCCATGTGCTTAGTCTTCCAGAAATCCATTGAAATTGCTTAGTCTCTTGTTCTCTCTTACTCAAGTCCCCACCTTGAACCTTCAGTAGCAAGGATAGGAATGATTATGCCCATTTTACACTTGAAAAACAGAAGCTCATGTGATTAAGTGACTTGCCTAAGATCACACAGCTAGAACGGGAAGGGCCAGGATTAAACTTATATGCTTTTGACTATGCCAAGTACTTCTTTTTTTCCAAACCATGACTCAGCTGGTATGACCTGGAGAAACAAGCCCTTACATAATACGACGCACTTACAATATGCTGTCATCTGTGTATAAAAATGACTCAGAAACTGCCCAGAATAAACTGTGCAATACCATTTTACAAGTTACGTATCTAGAATCAAGTGAGAACTCAACAAAGTTGTAAAACAGCACTTCTATATTTTGTGGGTCAGGTTGGAGTGGAACAGAGCTTGAGGAGAGAACACTGGTAGGAAGGGCTAGTCATCATTTGCGCAATTGTGACAAGGGCGTGGCACACCGAGGGCTCTCGGCTCTATGAAATAAATCCGCTTTAGAAGTCACATCTGGAGAGCAACTGACCCAACGAGGTGGGGCAGACTCCAGGCAGGGGGGGTGAATAGAAGACTTGCTAGGAAGACGGGGTACCCCACCCACATGGAAGCCACTCTCTCATATACATGCAGTATTTGTTAACTACTGTGTACAGACACTGCGAAAGGCTCTAGAGATACCTTCATCTTCAGCCAGGGAGGGTATTATCCCCAAAAGATAAGGATTTCTTCATTTCTGGATACTTCTAGAAATTAAAAACCCCACAGTATCTCGCAGGAACACATCTCATTCTTAATGGTTTAAGATTTAAAGTGTTACACAGAATTGTTCTGGTTCAACCACAAATATAGTTTGAGGGCTTTTGAATAGCCGGTCATTTAGTCAACAAATCTTTATTGAGCGCCTACTTAATGGCAGCCACTGGGGCTAGGACCTAGGGACATGCTCGTGAGGAATAGGAGATTATTTCTAAGGAAGTTAAGCGCTTAACCACCAAAGACAATGCCAAAGCACCCACTTTTCTTTTTCTCAGAGACAGAGGCCAAATTCGCTTAACTTTGAAATGTAGAGACTGACCCACAGAAAACCGGGCTAGGCAGAAGGTGAACATATTATATGCTGGTATTAATTCACTGTGATATTAAGTTGAATGCATGATATACAGGGGAAGAACATAATTTAACAGAAGATCTTTCTGTTCATACTGTTTTTCTCTAATTTTCACCTTCCCCATAGCTGTTTTTGTCTCAGTCTGATAAAAACAATTTTTTGGAAATTCATTGTGAGGTCTGGACCAAGCACGCATACCTTCTGTCAAAGGTTGGCACACAAGCCTGTGAACTTGGAACGAGAACACAGCTTTCTAGTAGGACAAATAAAGAAAAGGGAGATTAAAACATCTGATTTCCTCTTCTTTCCATCAGTTGTCAGAAACCTTTGAATAATCAATTCCTCCAGTTCCTGAAAGGTAGATAGCTATTATTAAAGCATTTCCAAAAGGAAATACATGTTAGTTTTCAATAATAATGGAACAAATGAAGTGGTAAAAATGCAACAAAAAGAAAAATTTTAAAGTACAGTATTTGCATTATTTTATTTGTGATTTTTTTCCCCATCTAATTCCACTCTCTCCAATGGTCCCTGAAACCTCACCAGCAGGCTGACATCCTGATAAACTCTAGAAGGAAGAAAGAAAACAGTCTAAAAGGCAGGGTGGGTGTGGCAGCTAAGAGAGGTCATGGTGAACAAAAAGCAAGTGCAGCTACTCAAGTGTATGCAGATAAGGTGTCAAGTTCAAGGTCTGAAAGGAAGTATACCAGATTGCAGAGTGCCCACATGATACCTGATGACAGACTTCCAATGACGAACCTGACCTCTAGGTTCTTTTGTGTAGCCCTCACTTCCAAATAAAGCAAGCTGCAAGACCAGTTCTCACATCAGGCGGCAGAAAGCTTCCTTCCTTTGGGAAAAGCTAGTAAAGGCATCTCTCTATGCCCTCTCACTGCAAAAAGGGCCCGCTTTCTCAGGAAGTTTCTGCTGTTGGGAGAAGACTCAAAAAGGCTGTGAGGGCAGAGTGCAAACAATATGGCAGTTAGAATTAAAATATGAGTCCATGTCCATCCAACCTGGCAGGAGTTAGTTTCCTTCCCAAGCCTCGAATTCTTTACCTGTAAAATGTGGTAGGCAGATTGAATCAGAAAACATTAAGTGATTCTAAATTTCTAAAAGACTTCTTTTCTCAGGACTTCCCTGGTGGTCCAGTGGCTAAGACTCCACTCTCCCAATGCAGGGGGCCCAGGTTCGATCCCTGGTCAGGGAACTAGATCCCACATGCCACAGCTAAGAGTTCGCATGCCACAACTAAAGTTCCTGCATGTGGCAACGAAGACCCGGCGCAGCCAATAAATAAATACTTTAAAAAGACTTCTTTTCTCTACTTCCCTCTTTCTTCCAATTACAAAAGCTTAAGCTGTAAAATCATAATCTAGCCTACCTGTTTTCCATATACTTGAGATTAATTCACATACTTTCTAAATAACGTGATATTATGATACTTCCGGCCCCAGGCTGGAAGCCCTGCCTCCACTTAAGGTATTGTTTTAAACCAAAGTTTACAGTGTCTGTTGATGGCCAAGACCCTCACTCTCCACCCTTCCTCCACCCCACCCTGAGGCCCCTGGGACTCAGTAGAGGCTGGGGACCCTACTCATCCCTCCTCTTCTCTTGCCCAGCCTGGGGGAAGGAAAGAGGGCAGAGGAGAGGTGGGCAGCCTTTAGCACCCCGCAGGGTTCTCGTACCCTTGGGCAGTGGGCACAGGAGCCCTCTTACCAACCCTGGGCTGTTTCCTGGGGGCTCTCCAGACCCCTCTCTAGGACCAAGCCCCCATCACACTGGGAGTGTGGATTCCAGCAAAGGAGCTGGGAAAAAAGTGAGACTCTCCACAGACCGCCTATGGGGGGGAACCCAACTTAAGGCCAAGGACTGGGTGTGTTGGATGCTTATGACACACCAGCCCAAGTCCCTTTGCTGAGAAGACTCCTTGGACTATTTCCCAAGAAACCGCCACATACATCCCTTTACAAGGCACCCCTCCCCTGTGTACTCCCCATCTGTGTTCTGTTTGACCAGCAAAGAAATAGTAAACGTCCTCTATTTAAAAAAAAAAATATACACACACCAGTTTCAGAATGACACTCCTGGGGTCCTGGCTGCAGCTTGGTCCAGGAGCACATAGTCAGCATCCTGATGCCAGGCGGCATCCACTGCCCGGGTTCCAGTTGATGCTCTCCTGGGAGACAACACCTTCCTTTCCAAAATGTTTACTTTTTGCTCAGAACAATGATGGACAGGTCTTCATTTGACTCACTACCTGAACGATCAGCTTCTTATATTGTTTCTCCAAAGCAGAACTAACTCACATAAAGTTTGTGTCGAGTCCCCAGCACTCTTTCTTGCATAGAAAACAGTAAGATATCACCCAACTCTGGCCTGAAAGTTCTTCTGGAATATCTTGTGGTATCACCAATTCTAGGTAACCTAGGAATTGACTTAGTCAGATATAAAACCTGTTCAATACTGCCCACGCAGGAGTCAAATTCTGAAGGATTTAAAACGTAATAAATTACAGTTCAGGGTTGTATTGGCGAGCTTACTTTGTTCCAGCCCTTCTTCCTGTTGAAACTCTCAGGTTTGTTTCAAGTTGGAACCTGCCAAGTTGCATCTTGTCATTTTTCATATTCACAGGAGAGGCCAAGCCCTATTGCACTGTTGTTTAAATTTTTATTATCAGAGTTAGCAGTAATAAGCCAATAGAAACAGGATAACGAAGGGAAAAGCTCCGGATAACTAACTTCTTCCTTATGAATTAAAACACATGCGGACACCGGTGTCAGTTACCACCTCCCCACATCCTGTCCTGTTGTACAAATAGTTACACAGAACACCCCACAGAACAATGCGAGCAGCTGGGCAGAGGACCCCTGTTGTGTGAAGTCTCAGGCTGATCTCGGTCTAGATGACCAGCTTCTCCACACTCAGCGTACTCGTGGTTTCATCCTCTTCGTTTGACCCAAAATATCCCGGGAGGTCCAGCATCCCCTGCTCCGCCTCGGTGAGGCCGAAGGATGTGTTGTCGTAGTAGGCGAACTCCGGGTGGGCGGGGAAGCTCTGACACTTGTCTTTCCGACACTGAGAAGGGCTCAGAGGACTGACCCTCTGGTAGCTATCTCTGGGGGCCGGGGAGGAAGGCCGCTTCCTTGAGACATTCCTGTGACTGGGGGACGGTCCCCTCCGAGCCCGGTGAGGCTCCGTTCTCTCACCTCCCGCCACGAACCCTGCCTGGCGATCCCCCAGGTCTGGTTTCCTCGTGGGCTGCCCTAGGGTGTGGGGTTTAGGGAAAGGGCTTAACGGGCCACTGCTTCCACCTGCCCCTGGACAGTGGTCCCGTTTCTCCGGAAACAGGGCCGCGCCTCGACTCGGGGGCCGGACTCGCTCTCCCGTCTGGTCCCACGTCCGGCTCCTGGAGCTGTAGGCGGGGGCTGGCCGGGGGGTCAGGGTGGACAGGCTCCGCTCCCGGAACGGTCGGGCCTGCCTGGCCTCGTGGAAACTTGCCGTCCTCCGGAAATGGGACCCCCGGGGGTGGCTCCTCATCTGCGACTTGCGGAGGAGGCTCTGGCTGGGGCTGACGGCGCAGCTGGCCGGCGAGAGCGGGTGGTCCAGCCGGGAGGGGGGCCTGTCCCCGGCGCCGACCGCGGGCGGCTGCTCCAGGAACGGGGATTTGAGGCGGAACTTGCCGGCCGCGGCTTCTTCGGGGCTCTCGGAGCCTCCCGGGGGCGCGGCGACGGCGGCGTCGATGGCGGTGTCCGTCAGGGGGCTCTGGGACACGTGGTACACCTTGGTGGTCTCCGTCAGGCCTTTCTTCTTCATCTCCTTCAACTGCTGCTGGGCCAGGCGGTAGCTGAACAGGGGTGGGATGATCTTCTGGCCGTTAGACTGGAAGCTCTCGCTGCCCGAGGTCTCGTCATCGGGGGGCGCCGGCACGCTCCGCCGGTAGGTCAGAGGGATGCCCTGGCCCGCGGGGCTCCCCGCCGGCCCGTCGCCCGCGTCTGAGAAGCTGCCACGGGGCTCGCTCAGCTCGCAGATGTTCTCCTCGTCCGAGTTCTTCCGGCAGCCGGGCGCGCGCAGGGAGTTGTGGCGGACTGGGGTGCTGCACTTGGGGGCGCGGCCCAGCTTCCGCCACAGCGTGATGAGCACAGTGGCCACGATGATGAACAAGCACAGGGATATCCCAGTGACCGTCACGATGTTGCTGGACTTCACGGGAGTCTGGGGCTGGAAAGGAGACGGACTGGATGGCTGGAAAGCTACCAAAAAAAGAAAAAAAAAAGGAAGAACGAATGCATTCTCTAGTATCGTTTTCTCTGCCTGGGTCTAAGGTCTCTGAGTGGCTCGCTCTAATTATGTAGCAATTAAAGAAGGAAGGAAAATAAACGAGGACTGGGATTTCTGGTCTTACATATATTTCTGCAGGCAGGCTTTTAAGCCAAGCTGAAAAACAGACACTGGTAGAAGCGAGGTGAGCAGATGAGCCACAATCAAGGTGGCTCACTGGCTCTTGCTGACACTTGTCCCCAGTTTTCTACAAAGAAGCCTCATGAACGTTTCAAGGTAAAAATCAAGGTTTTTCACTTAAGGTAAACATGGGCTATCTATAATTAAATGTACCTTTGAGATGCACCTCGGAAAATTTCTGCCAAGTGTAACACTTGGGATGCAAAACAGTTTAGGCAGGTTGTAGCTCAATTTGCACATCTCAAGAGAAATTAACAGGTGAAAATAAGTCTTCTGGCAATATACTACAGCTCACTTTTCCCTCCCAATGTCCAGGAACTGCCTTTCCTAAGTGCTGACGCCTCTGCTCTCTCTCTCTTGTTTTCTCAGCTGTGCACTCCCCTTCCTACATTCTATGTGGCATTGATTTTCCTTCTTCTTCCCTGCTCTCTCAAACTGGTGTGTCTCACAGTCATCAAAATGTTTCACCAAGGCTCAGACGCCACCTGGGGCCTCAGCCTGTAGTACCCGGGAACCCGAGACCACCCAATGCCACCAGGCCTCACCTCTCTTTCCTCCTTGGTCACTGTTCGCCATTCAAGCCCTTCCAGTCACATGTCCTCTATCTCTTCCTCCCATAGTCTTATCCTCACCAGTTCTGTGCCGCATCTCCATCCTCCCACTGCTCCCCTTTCCCCTTTCCACCGCACCCTATAGGACACCTATAACCAAATTCCTCACGCTGCAGAAACTTTCTACAAAACACTGTGTGTCTCCTTGCCTGACCTGAGGACAGGCCATCCCTCAGGGCACAGCCTCCCCAGCTCACTCTTGGGTGAAGCTTTATCAGAAGCAGAACCAGAAGCAGGGCGTGTTCCGCAGCCTCCTCATTCCTGGCTGCCATCTCAGCCCACTTTTTACCTCCGTGTAGAAGTTCTAATCTTCTGACGCCCACGCCATCCACCCAGACCACCCTCTACCCTCTACCCCTCAACTCTGTCATCTCCCCACCTCAGGGCAAACATCAGTTACTAGCACCTGGGTCCAGTCTTCCTCACCATCCCACAGCTGGGACCATTCATTGTCCTTCCAAGCTGCCATACCTTCCCATTGTCTGCAGCTGCTCCTGTTCTGAAACCTTAAAGCTTCACAGCCCACTTTCCGGCTGTATCCTCCCCTCTCGCTCACTCATTATTCATACAACGGTTACTCAACCTCGCTGCAACATCTGATTCTCCAACCCCTCCATTTTCTCTCCATCCGCCAGCCACCTTCTGCCCTCACTTCTCTCCCTACACCCAGGATCCATCACTTAAATCCTTCTACTGCCAATCATCTCAACTCTCTGACCTCTAACACTGAGCTGTATCCCTTCCCCTGCTCAGAAGCAAAAGTCTGTTCCTAGAAAAATCCAGGCACGTTGATTATCAGCTGTTGCACCCCGGCCCCTGAGCCCTGGAGGAGGAAATAATGCACCCATGCAAGCCAGAACCTTTGTGCACGGATGGCACCCAAACTTGACTGCCCACAAATCCTTCCGCGGGTTCCTAAGCAACTCTCTCTTCCATCCCCGACAACAGTGCTTCAGAGTTTTACCACCAATCCTCTTCCTCAGCCGTCTGCTGGATCACAAAAGTTAGAAGCTATCAAGCAAGTACACCCCCAGGTTCTTCTGCCATCCTCTCCTCCCCCATAAACTCAGCAGCAGCCACATCTCCATTTCCCTCTTTCTCTAGGGAATTAGTGGGAGAAGTGTCTTCCCATAAAGATGAGTCCACCAGGTGCTCTCTAGGCCACCCTTCTCCAGGGGGATCATCCCTCTGTACCTATTATCTCCAGCTTCTCCTCCGTGCAGCTCCACAGAAACATGTTCAAGCTCTTTGCACTTTACAAAGATCTTTCTAGAACCCTCTCACTAATGCCACAGCCATATCTCACTCCTTGTCTTCCCAGCGGAACGTACAGAAAGAAGGGTCCACATGTGCTGACTCCTCGTCACCTCTGGCTCCTGCAACCTGCCCCTAGGCTTCCAGTGAAGCAGCTCCTATCGAGGTCATTAACCATCTAATAGCCAAATGCAAAGGAGTTCCGTCCTGCTATTCCTTGAGCTTTGCAGCATCGGCTACTGTCCGACCCTTCCTGTGATTGTTTCTCTTCTTGGTTTCAAGAATTCTCTAATTCGGAGAGAAGAACATGGACTTTGGAGCCAGGAGAGCTAGATCCCATCCTGGTTCCACTAGCTCTGCTCTCTCCATAGACGTCCCACCGACACTTCCACCTCCACACGCCCAGGACTCATCGTCTTCCCGCGGAACCTGCGCCTCCTCTGATACATCTGATCTCACGGGAATGGTGCTGTGTCCTGCAGCTGCCGGTGCTAAAATCCTAGGTCCCACCCGCGACACTCCCCTCTCCACACTCGCCACATCCACAGTCGCTGAATCCTTCTCTCCTCTGCATCCCCACTGCCAGTGCTCCCTTTTCCCCCTGGGTCACTGAAAACCTCTCAACAGCCCTCACTGCTGCCACTCCTGGCCCTTCTGATTTGTACTCCACGCGACAGGCAAGAGATCCCTCCGCAACACAGGTCCAGTCTTCAAGGGCCCTCGGGATCTGGCCCCTGCCTACCTGTTCAGTCTCATTTTGTGCCTTTTTATTTTTTTCTTTTGGCCACGCTGTGCGGCTTGTGGGATCTTAGCTCCCCGACCAGGGATTGAACCCGGGCCCTCGGCAGTGAGAGTGCACAGTCCTAACCACTGGACCGCCAGGGAAGTCCCCTGTCCAGCCTCATTTCCCTCACTCCCTCCTGACACTCTATCCTGCTGCCACATCAAACTCTTGCCAGGTTCCCTGGGTTTCATAATACGCCATCGTCTTCCAAGCTTTCATCCATTGCTCCATTTGCTAAAATTCCCGTTCTCACCTAGCTCACCAGGTGATGCCTATTCAGCTCTCAATCTTCAGCTCAAATATCACCTCCTCAGGAACAGAGGTGTTCCCAGCATTGTCACAAGCTTCCACAGCAAGCTGTGGATACCTTTCTACTGCACTGTATATGCTATGCCTGCTTTGGTGTCTGCTGAGCTGCTGTATCATAAGCCCGTTCCAGAGACACGGCTTATCTCTACACCCCCAACCCCAGTCAATAACTGGCCAAGAGTTGGTACTCAATTAATGTTATATTCATGAATAGATTCATTATTGAAAAGATGATGGCAAAATGACCAACACCCCATCAGATGGAACGTGGGCGCAATGGCAACTGGATCCTCCCATCTTCGTGGTGAACAAGATAGACCAAATGAACGTAGAACTACTTCACTCAGACCTTGGCGTAAAAACATCCTTTCAAAGCCAAGCAAAACTCTAGATTCTCAACCAAGTGAAAGTAGTTGAATGATGAAAGACTCGTTCCCTGACTGATCACGTCTCCGTCTGCAGTGGCTGCTCCGTCAGTGGGTCGCAGCATTGCAGATGTACACGTGGACCTCTTAGCTGTTACACTTGCCTCTGGCTGGAACCCTTCAAAACCGCAGCTGGAGAAAAGCCCCAAAGCTGCTGACCTCACCCATCTCTGCCTCATCTTGTCTTCCCTCTTTTCCTTGAAGGGAAGGAGACTTCCTGACGCTAAGCAGCCTGCAAACAGATCTTTACATTTCCAAGGAGTGGAAAACAGGCTGAACTGGAAAAAGAGAACAGTTGGAAGAAATGATCATTTTTATCCACACAAGCATTTATTTTTTTTCTGAGGACCACTTATAGTAGAAGTAGGGGTGCCTGTAGCACTTCCCCTCTCTGCTAATTTATAATGTACAAATTTCCAGTTCCCACCCAGGATTAAAGAGATTAAGATGCCAGAACGTGAAATAATACCACACAGCCTCAAAAACTGGTTGCTAATTCCAGGATGGTTGTAGAAAGCTAGACAGGCCTGTACGTCGAGGCAAAGTATTCAAGATAGGTGGCTTAGCATGAGGTCAGATCTAGTCCGCTGCTTTCTAGCTTTATGGTCTTGGGCAGGTGGCTCACCCTCTCTCTCTGCTGCAAAGTCCTCACCTGTATGTGTAGATAATGATGTACCGACTTCATACGTGCAAGGCACTTAGAAAAAATGCCGGGCAGCAGCAAGCTCTCAAGATCTGAGCCCAGCATAAGAATCCTTGCCATGGGCTTCCCTGGTGGCGCAGTGGTTGAGAGTCCGCCTGCCGATGCAGGGGACATGGGTTCGTGCCCCGGTCCGGGAGGATCCCACATGCCATGGAGCGGCTGGGCCCGTGAGCCATGGCCGCTGAGCCTGCGCGTCTGGAGCCTGTGCTCCACAACGGTGAGAGGCCCGCGTACCGCAAAAAAAAAAAAAAAAAAAAAGAATCCTTGCCTTGTAGAGTTATTGTGAGCTTTGAGTGAGATAATGTAATAAATGGTTGATACTGCTGTCCCTTCTAAAAGTGCAGTAGAAGCCAGGGGCAGCTGATTTTTAATTCATTTGAGTATTACAGAACTCTAGATGAAATATCTTAATACAACACGCCATCCCAGAACAGAGAGGAAGAAGTTATACACAAGGAAGGAGCTGTGGAGAGTAAGGGGACTTGTAAAGAAAAGGGCAGACAGAGAAGAGAGCCTCAGAAGACAGTGTGAGATACAACTGGAGAAAGAACAGATTCAGGGTGAGGCTCAGGGCTGATGAAAGAAGACGGTAGGCTGGAGGCTGTGAGAAGAGCCTGGGTCTGAGGTTGTAATATGAAAATCACAGAGAGAGAATGTCCTCAGGATGCTGGAATAAAGGGAACAAGGCCTACAGCACTGGCTGGAAAGAGGAGACAGCAAGAATTTTGTAAGGTCACAGGTGGGGATGCCAGGTACCAGTGTTGCCAGGTGCCAGTGGTCTTGGCTACAAGGTGCTCTGAGACCAAACACAAAAAAACACTTCTCCAGATCCCAAAGGGACAAGGAAACAGGGATGGTCTTCAACGTGGAATTGGAGAGTGGAAGGAGTCGGGACTGGACAGAAGGACTTCACCTAAGGGTCAGGACCACAGCAAAGGCTAAATGGGGAGCTGGCTGTGTCTCAGAAGGGGCGATGGTGTGTGGGAAGAGCAAGGATCCTTTTTTTACTGTAACCTGTGGCAAATGAATGGGATTCAGCTCCGTAAGCTGCAGCAAACCCAACTGAGTGACCTGAGCACCACACCATAGACCACGCACATCAAATACTCACTGAGCGCCTACAAATGGGGGTCATTTCAAGATGCTCAGAGGATGAAGGAGGGGCCAGCCCCCAGGTGATGGCAAGATGAACTTCCCCACCTTCTCCTCCTGGGCGGGGGCAGGGGGGAAGAATAAACACAGAGCCCTTCAGGGGATAAGATAGGGTGCCTTGCCTCATTTTGGACAAATAATGTCCATTTTGGTTTCCTGGGGCTTCTCGGAGATGAGGAGGTGAAAAACTCTTTTTTTAATGTTTTCCCACAATTTCTGGGGGGGAGAAGTAAAGGAGGGAGAAACAAAACCAACAAATATCGGGAAGAAATCATCATCCCTCCCATGTTTTGTACTTTTAAACATGATTTCGTACGTCTGAATCTTTCATTTACACCGATGTCCTTGTCATTTCCCCATCTTCGACGGTGTTAAGTCCCCTGTCATCTCCCTGGCAAGACACCCCCAGTCGCAGACACACTGAAGGACACAGAGTCTGTACAGCCAGCAGCAGCAGCGACAGAGCATCGAGTCCACTCCTGAACTCAGACTGGCGACTGTCAGGCAGGGCTGGGTTCGACAGTCCCTCTGGGAAGAGGCTTGCGAAGGAGGACGGATACCTACCCGCACAGTCCTCCAGGGAACACGGGGAGCTCTCCGAGGACATTCCAGGGCAGCCAGGTCGGGAGGGGGAGGAGGGCAGGCACAGGCGGCGACGCTCTCTGACACCGTCCCCACACGTGGCACTACACTGGCTCCACGGCTGCCACAGTCCCCAAGTTTCTGCAAGGACATCGGCCAGGCTTTTAATGCTAGCTCACTTGAGAATCAGAATTTAACTGCACCCAAATGAAGCAGCAAAACTCAAATCTCAGGCTTTGAAAAGTCAGTAAAGAAGCACATTCCCACAAAAGTGGAAAGCTGGAATGTTGCTGCTCCCCCTACAACAAAGGAAAGCTGTATAACCTACAAAATATCAACCTTCCTAGAACTCTTCAGAGAGCTAAGGTCACAGGACAACCAAATGGCCTGAATTCAAAGGAAAAAGACAGACTCCTCCAAGGAAAGCCAGGATGCAAACACTGCTTCCTGGGGCAGATGCCAGGCCTCATACAAGCTGGAGAGAAATCATCTAAAAATATAATGAACCGCCAGAAGCCTGGTGTGGGCTAGCATGAGAATACAGAACCCCTGGGAGCCGCACTACCCAACTGGGAATTTGTACCCACTTGCAGGCTCTTCTCCACGGATCTCACCAGATCTTCACAAGGAGGACCGAGGGCAGGCACAAGACCAGGGAGAGCCTCCCTCATGGTGGAGGCCAAGGAGGGGAGGAGAAGCTTTGTGGAAAAGACACAAACCTCACCCAGACCCTCCTCCCCAACTGCTCCATCAACAAAAGCCCAACCACTGGGGACAGGGCAGAAAACCCTGTCACTCTAAGAGCAGCAGCTGAAACCTAGTGCTGCCAAGGAATGGAAAAAGAAGAAAATCTTTCACCCCTAGAGAGGAGGAGGAAAGACCCTGGGCCCACACTTATACACAGCTTCTACCACCGGCAAGGGGCAGGGTCATTACAAAGCCCCATCCTTGAAACTCAGAGGCAGAGCACTTGCCTAAGACTAAAGCTGAACCAGAACAAGAAGATGTTCTTCCACTCCCATCACCTAACACCCACCCTGCTCCAGGCTAGCAATTACCAAGTAAAATAACAAGAGTCTACTGCTGGGGGAGAGGCAAGAGTGACAAGGAAAAGCCTTTCTGATGTGCAGGCTCAAGCCTAAAGTTGAGGGTGCAACAGAAGTATGGAGAAAACCCTCTGGCAACCCAGCTCCTACCCTAAACACAAAGCAACACTAGAAAATTTTGAACTCGATCGTGCACTGAGGATAGCCATAGCAACAGCAAAAACTCAAACACAGCTCAATTCCTTATTATACTGACCCAAACTCTACACTAAAGTCCTAGCATAAATAGGGTATGCCAATTTCCAGGCATAAATGCTATTTATCAGTGTCTACAGTTCTAAGAAAATGTCCAACTTTCAACCAAAAATTATGAGACATACAAAGAAACAAGAAAAAAACAATAAAATATCCAAGTAATTAAGATAACCAGACTCAGATGTGACCCAGATATTGGAATTATCAGAGAGAGATATTAACTATGATTAATATGTTAACGTTTTCGTGGAAAATGTGAATAAGATGCATGAACAGATGGAAATTTTCATCAGAGAATTGTAAACTAAAAAGAGTTCATCGGAATGCTAGAAATTAACAGCATGGCAACAGAGATGAAGAATGCCTTCTAGAGGCTCATCAACAGACTCAACATAGCTGAGGAAAGAAACGGTGAAACTGAATATATATCGACAGAAATCACTCAAACTGAGACACAAAGAGAGAGAAAAAGAAAGAGTGAATAAAACAGAACAGAATACCCAAGAGTTGTGGGACAATATCAAATAGTTTGTCATACATATGACTAGAATCCCAGAAGAAAAAGAGACTAATGTCCAAGAAGTCTCCAAAATTAATGAAAGACACCAAACTACATCCAAGATGCTCAGAAAACATGAAGCAGTATAAACACAAAAAAGCAAACAAACAAAAAAGTTAAACACACTACAAACTGCTAAAAACTAAAAACAAATAGAAAATTTTGAAGGCTGTGGAGGGAGAGATGGGGCAAGGTGGAATTACATCACATACAGAAGAATAAAAATCTGAATTATAGCACACTTCTCATCATGCAAGCCAGAGATAATGGAGTGACATCTCTAGAGTACTGAAGAAAAAAATCACCAACCCCAAATTCCATATCCAGTGAAAATATCTTTCAAAAATTAAGGAAAAATAAAGACTTTTTCAGATGAATGAAAATTAATAGAATTAATTAATTCTACCAACAGACCTTCATTATAAAAAATGTTCAAGAAAATTCTTCAAGCAGAAGGAATGTGATACCAGGCAAACCTGCATCAATATAAAGGAATGAAGTGTGCTAGAATTAGCATTTATAGAGGTAAAGATAAAATTTACTTCTTATTTTTAAATGCTCTAAAATATAATTGATGATCTAAAGCAAAACAGTAGCAGTGGGGCTTCCCTGGTGGCGCAGTGGTTGGGGGTCCGTCTGCCAATGCAGGGGACGCGGGTTCACGCCCCAGTCCGGGAGGATCCCGCATGCCGTGGAGCGGCTGGGCCCGTGGGCCATGGCCACTGGGCCTGCGCGTCCGGGGCCTGCGCGTCCGGAGCCTGTGCTCCGCAGCAGGGGAGGCCACAGCAGTGAGAGGCCCGCCTACCGCAAAAAAAAAAAAACAACCAGTAGCAACGTATTATGTGTTTATACCATATATAAAGTAAAATGTATAACAATCATTCAAAGAATGGGAGAAACGAATTGGAATTGTACTGTTATAAGGTCCTTACACTATACATGAAGCAAGATATTATCTGAAGGTAGACTGAGAGTAATTAAAAATGTACGCTGTAAGCTCTAGGACAACCACTAATAAATATTTTAAGGTATAAATAATAAACCAATAGTGTGGTTAAAGTAATTCATAAAAAATAGTCAACTAATCCAAAGGAAGGCAGATGAAAAGAGGAAAAAGAAACAAAGAACAGATGGAAAAAATATACAACTACCAAGATGGTAGATCCTAATCTAACCACACAATGATTACACTAAATATAAATAATCTAAACACCAATTAGAAGACAGAGTTTGTGAGACTGGATAAAAAAGCATGACCCCACTATATGCTGTTTAGAAGAAACTCGCTTTAAATTTAAATACATAAATAGGTAAAAGGAAAAAGATGGGAGAAGTTATACCTTGTAAACACTAATCAAAAGAAAACTAGAGTGGCTTTATTAATATCAGACAAAGCAGACTGCAGAACAAGGAGTATTACCAGAGATAAAGAGGGATGTTACATAATGACCAAAGGGTCAATTCAGCCAGCAGCCTTAACAACCATAAATAGGGATGCGACTAACACCAGAGCTTCAAAATACATACTACAAAACATTCCCAGAACAGTCATTATTGATTGACAAATGCAAACATCTCTTCCAAGCATATAAGTAATCACTGCCAGAGAGAATAATTGAATAATTCCCTACAAATAATTATCCTAAGTCCCTTCTCTGTGAGCACCCATCCAATCCCAAGACCTACCAGGTCATGCCCACACCAGGCACAAGGTATCCTCTGCATAAAAGTCTCTCTTCATCGTTATGGACAAAAACTCACAATGCAGTCAAGGTATACAAAGCACTACAAAAACATACGGAAAACAGGCAGGGCAGTTACATTCTCAGGTGAGCCAAGTGGTGCAATCTTTGGAATGAGTCATGGCATATGACTTCTTTAGAGCAATTAAAAGTCTCGGATTGTCACAAGAGTGGGAGCATTACAAACCAGTGTCCTGGACCAACATCAGCTGAGGTGTGGTAATTATGTTCCACCCAGAGGTCCAGCTGAACACAATGTTGGTTCTGTGCCTCCCAGATCACTCTGTGGCTCCTCAAATGGCAGAACAACAAGGCAGCTTTGTCCTCAAGCTTCAGAGCTGTTCAGACACTGAGCTCTCAGTGCTTGCAAAGCTTTGGGTATCTCATATTAAGTCTCTCTGAGCTAAAGTATTGTGATTTAGTTTTTGAAAAATCTACTGGTAATTCCAGCACTGTGAAATCTAAATTGAAAAGTCAATACATAGTTTATCCTTCTCTTGTGCTCATATTTAAGACCACAAAAGGTAGAATTACAGAAGCTGAGAATCCTTTTTTTATTCTTTCTTAACTCTTCTTTTACTTTACGTAGACGTTATTTAAATACATAAAGTCATTTGTCAAACTAAAAACAAAAATTCCATTAGTGGGCACCAGGAAACAAAAAAATCAAAGTTTTGATAAAAGCATGAATCTTAATGTCAAAAATCTCACTTTCAAATGTGTTTTTTTTCCTTTGAAAGTAAAATTATGGCTGGCAGGATCATCAACAATTTAAAAAATAAACATTTAAACTAAGTTTTAGGTTCTTTTACTGCTAAACCAAATTAATCGAACAGAAAACAAGGGAAATCACTCAAATAAAGCAATGAACAGACTTAATCAGCCAAAATTTTAAAAATGCCTTAAATACCTCTATTTGTTCCCTGAAGATTTCTGTTAATAACACTGAGGAAAATACTTGGCAAAACAGGAACTCATTGGCCAGCTATAGTTCACATGTTACAAATGAAGAATAAGATGACCATTATTCTAAACAGTAGCCTTACTTCATGAATGAAAGGCTGTTTTGTTTTGTCCTGTTTAGATGTCCATACATGCCCTCCCATTGCTTTAACAAACCTGTGTGACCAGGATAAATGCCTTTCAGGCCACTCTAGAGGATATTAATTCTGAATGAGCAAAATGTGTCTGCAATAAGAAAAGGGAGATTTGTTTCCACTCCCAAGAATATCTGAAGGAATACAGAGTATGAAATATTCACATCTGCAAGATATTTCACTCAAGAGACTAAAGTAACTAAACAAAACGTCCTTAGAAGAAAATTCTATTAAAAAAATAAAGTTATTATAAAACATACAAAAAAAAGAAAGAAAATTCTATAGACATGAGTAAGTAGCCTAAAGCCACAGTGGGAACAAAGGCACCTGGATAAGCAGTTCAGGTTTTCTGTGTCCCGCACAGGCTCATTCATATTAGACCAATCATGCTTATGCCTGGGCCAGCGGGCTCCAAAGTGGGTTACATGTCTTTCAGGGGGGG